GTATGTATGTATGTATGTATGTATGTATGTATGTATGCATGCATGCATGCATGCATGTATGTATGGTGGTCTCTCATGAGGAATAAGACACGCAGGCAAGATGTCTCGGGATGAGAGCTCAGAACAGAATCCGAAACTCCCTTTTATTCTTATTACACTCATTAGCATACAATGTTATCACTTAGGGCCAGCGCTGGCTATGGCCAGTTACTTTTATGAGTCATTTATCCTGTTTTCCACATCCCATGCGCTTCCATTGTTTCGTGTGCACTACGGCACATCCTGTGCGAGCAGGTCTCTGCAATTATTCCCACAGGATGGTAAGAAATACTATAAATGTTAATGTTCAAGGAAAAAGTGCTGAAAAAGATTTAATAAATGTGTGACTCTTGAATAATGGTAAAGCTGCAGAAATAGATGGTGTAACTGGGGAAAAGTTTAAATATGAATAAGGTTTGATTAATAAATGCTACTTTCTGTGTGTGGTGTGAAGACTGCATCCTTAGCAAATGCAAAATCTTAATTTGCCCTTGGAAAGTCTTGTCAGAATGAATGGAAGGAGCACATTTGCATTGGCAAAGTTCCAAAATTTGGACTGGAAAGGTACAAGCAGTTACGAGTAAAATGTTGCAAATGTGATATGACTTTAACCTGGGCTGGTGTGTACATCAGGTCATTGAGAAAGATATGATTGTGAGAAAGGTTTATGTTTATTGAATAAAGTGAAGAGACTTGAATCTTGGAATGCTTTATGCAAGTATGGAGTTGAAAGGAAAGTTGGTTACTCCATTCATAAACAGTGGCAAATGACGACAATACATAAAAATGCCTTCCCCCTTATGTCGTCCCTCTCTTTTCAGTCAGGTAGTCTCCTGTGACCCTAAGGTCATTGGGCAGAGTTTAGAATTCCCTGTCCTTTCAGTGTCTGGTTTAACTCTTCCATCTCCAAATTCTGGTGAAGAAAGATTACTTGGAAGAAATAGATCTGTGATGGCGAACTTATGGCATGCATGCCACAGGTGGCACGCAGAGCCTTCGCTGCGGGAATGCCAGCTGTTCTCCCAGCCCAGCTCCACTGTACATGCAGGGGCCCCCATTAGCCAGTTGGTGTTCGGGTCTCTGCTGCACATGCGTGAGGGGCAAGGCATATGTGGGGGATATGTGAACATGCGTGTTGGGCAAGATAAATGCACAGGGGGTGCTTGCATTGCATTTTGAGGCCTCTATAGTGTCCCTGTCCTCTGTTTTGACTTTCAGGTTGGTGCAGAAGGCTTTCCAGGCCCAAAACAGGACACTGGGGTGTTTGTGCGTGCAGCCCCTCCCCCCATTTTGGGCCTGGAAGGCCTCCTGCAACAACCTGAAAGCCAAAAACGGGAGCAGGTGTGGGTGGGGCGCATGCCAGGGGGGGGCGAGGGAGAATGTGGGATCACGTGCACATACACAGGGGATTGTGTGCGCATGTGCAGGTTTGTGTGATGCACACGCATTGCATTATAGGTCTAGGCACGTGTATTTTCGGCATGTGATGACAAAAAGTTTAGCCATCACTGAAATAGGTTATTATTCGGCATTCTACCAAATAATTTTGTTGATCAGTTGCAAAGAATCAAGAGCCACTCACAATTTTTGAAAATTTTTAATGACTTAGACTACTGATGTTACAATGTTTGTATAAATTGTATCACTAGTCCCTAGAAACTAATGTTTGAAATTATATCAGTATTTCCGTGATAAACAAAAGCTTACCCAATAAACTGTACACATAGCAAATCCAACATGCAGACATATTCACAAACGCAAACCTATTTTTCTCCCTATCACTTAAAGTTTGCATATAATTACAAAGACTGCTAGAGTGCAGCTGAAATATGCTGACGTATTTTGAACCTCAGAAATAAATAAATATATACAAAGAAAGTTAAGCTTTGCTGATAAGAAAACCAAAGATCTATACAGAAAGACGATATGATGAAAAAACAGCACTGGAAAAACTATTTATCTGATATAATTTTTAAGGATTACTACATGGTAGTAAATGCAAAGAATATTCTTATTTGGCTAAAATATAGGCACATTTCACATTAATCTGGTCAGATAAAACCATCTTAAGGGGAAACTAAAGTATTACAATTTTCCTAATGAAAGTCAAGCATTACTTACCATTTTCATATTATTTACTTTTAATTACCATATACAGAACTACATTTTCCCTTATTTTGAATATTTTTATCCAGAAGAAATGTTACATAAGCTACTTTCTGAAATTTATTAAGAGATATAAACTAATCTTTTAGAAGGCACATAAGAACAAAACATTCTCTTCAGTAAAGCTATTTGATCCCATCAAATTCTGGTATAATTTGATGTCATAAGGAATCATTCACTCATATTAAATTAAATCCTTAACCCATGACAAATAATTCCTTTTAGGGATTATAAAACAAATTAAATAATTTGAAGCCAAAGAACTTTGGTGCTACGGGGCAACTTAATTTGACAATTCTGATGGTGAAAATTAATAAATTGTAGTTCTTAAACAGCTATAAAACAGATGGAGTTGAAATGTATTTTGAAAATAAGCATGCAGAGATTATTGCCATAGAAAGAGGGGGAAATCCTATGATCACCTGTCAGTCACTGGACAAATTTGCAATTCTGTACAAATTTTCCTTAAAATAAGCCTCCTTGTATTCAGTTGGAATTACTTCTAAGACATACTGGAGATTATGCTATATATTACTGGGAGATTAAATAAAGTAGCACACAGAAAGAGTTATTAAAGAATTGAGCAAGTGACAAATATTGTTTTATATTTAGCATATAATTTTTTTAAACTATTTGGAGTCCTTAACTCCAAATACAAAGAGAATTTGTATTATATTTGTAAACAATGAACATAACAACATTCTCCTTTAGAGATGTGGTGTACTGACTTTAGTAAATCTAAGTATATGTGCTACAGAGAATGTAATAATATAATCTGTAATTTAAAATACTGTATGAAGGGAAGAATAGATGGCATGATCGCTATGCTTACGTGTGAAAATCTCAATTGTTTCAGCAGCTGTGTATATCTGAAATGATAAAGATTTCTTGTTAAGTATTTGTCAATACATATCTTGGAAAAGGTCTATCTGGGTGAAAAGGTGTAAGAATTGGCAGTAACTTGATTTGTACAGGTTAATAAACATTGCTCTTAAGACATAAATAAATGGAAAACATGCTTCAGCCTGGAATTCCACATAAATAAGGATGTAAAAATAAAGCAAATTAGGAAAAAACTGATGAAAGTTTATATATAATATTGGACTGATTCAGAATTTCTATTCTTTGATCATGATGAAGATGCATAGCAACCGTGACATATTCAACAGCTCAGTTTCTTTTGGTCTATAACTAGGCAAACTTTCAAGTTAACATAAAACACTTCATTAAGTTCTTCCAAAATCAAAGATGCACACTTCAATACTTCTGCCATTAAAAAATAATAAAATAATAAATATGGCCCAGAGTTTGCAAGCAAGAGTTAAGAGTTAAGATAATCTTTGAAGCACTTTTGGTTTCTTTAAATCAGGCACATAAATTCTCTAAAAAATAGTTTTTCTTTGTCTTGTCTGTGTAAAAAAAAAGTTTCAAATGACCTCTCTAGCATTGCACAATCAGACCTCTGCTTGTGCCACAAGCAGAATATGCTATCATCTCTTTTTTCAGAGAAGATTTGATTATATTAAACAAGGGGATCCATTTATACTTACAGACATGCACAATTGTATAGCTCTCTCTGTGTAAGGCTACATGTGTGCCGCACACATGCGTGTGTGCGCGCGCGCGCGCACACACACACATATCACATCTTAACAGCATGCTCTGGAAATGTCTTTGGAAGTTACAAGCTTTAGTTTTGGGCGTTTCAGGATTCTTAATTTTGCATGATTATAAATGGGATTAATAAACATGTCACTGTGTAGATGCTTGAGAACTGTTGATAAAAGAGTGCCAGCATCAATGCTGGATCAATGGAGAGAATTAATTAGATGTTCTGTTTCGCCAAATATAGGTAGCTGAACAGCTTATATAACTGGATAAAGCACAACGTTTTGATAGAATTTATATCTTCAGCCAGTCCCACAAGTTCAACACTTAATAATCTTTATGCTGTTTGTTGACTTGTCTTCTTCCAGAAACCCAGATATTCAGAATTTTGTACTATGGCTCAGGGAATCTGACATGATCATATTTCTATAGAAATTGTCTGATTGAGTATTGTAGTAAACTTTCACTTTGTCAATGACTTGGTGAACTGGGATGATTGACGTCTGTTCCATGTCCACTTGGATGTATTTTGTTGAAGGCTTGTCAAGAAAAACATTGTCTGATTAAAAAACAAGACAAAACAAAACAAGTCAGTAATGTTGAAAACAAAATTTACTGCCAACCAGATGACCTCAGACAACCCCTTTGTAAATACATAAAGTATATGTTTTTTTGTTCCGAATTCTGGTTTTCTTTTTACAATCCATACTATGAGTATATAAGCTGCCAGTCTGATAATTACAACAGGCTTTACATTGCACAATAACAACCATATATTAAAAGTTTTTCCTTTATTATCTTCTTAGAAAATGTCATCATTTTTGTGTTTTAGAGAGGCAATTATAAACAAGCCATTTGGGAGAGGTTCAGGAAATAGAAGTAGCAAAATGGTGATTTAAATTTTAAGAATTAAGCATTTTACTCCTTAAAACCTCTCAAAATCGGAACAATTAATTGTTCACATTTTGAAGAGGTTCTAAGGAATAAGGTGTGTGTGTGTGTATGGGTGTTTGTGTGTGTGTGTGTGTGTGTGTGTATGTGTGTTTGTGTGTGTGTGTGTGTGTGTGTGTGAGAGAGAGAGAGAGAGAGAGAGGTGCAATGAGTGTTTTAAAGTCTTAAGGTACTCATTTCATCTGTATCATCTGTAGCCAGAAAAATTCAGCCCCACTGATCCTCTGGGAGCCGTAAATTAGTAGGGTTAGACTAATGAACACCACACCTTTATACTCCTGATTTATTTAGAAGTGCAAATCGAATTTTGCTTCTTACATGATCTGAAATTTAGCTCTAGTTTTCAGTTATTGGATGACATTTCTATGCTGATCTACATGGCTACTGAAATAATGGCATCAGCATCATTGAAGGAGTGGTATCAAACTGCAGTAATTTGACTCACAATTAAATGCTGTTTTGGATAAGCATTTGGAGTCTGTTTTTGTATTGGGAATGTGATTACAGAAAGCAGGGGATGTTATCTGCTTCATTCTGAACAGGATTCAGGATAATGTCACATGAACAATAAATTTTGACTTTATGAACCAATTCAGAATAAGGACAACAGAAAATACATCTCATCAAGAGTCATGCCAAAAAGGGGAAAGAAATTCATTTTTTTTACTACTCAATTGCTGAAATTAGGAAAGTTGCACTAAAATCAATAGTAATGGCTACAGGTTTCACCATTTTTAGACTCAGCTGATTATGTGCTGAGAAAGGATTTTGACTGCGTTCCTCACTACCAGTTTACATTCATATTCCATTTCATTTGTGCACATAGACTGTGTTATTTACATTGAAATGAATGTAAAACCCATACACCACCTCCAGAGATGCAGAATCTATAGATTTAGGGTTTTATTTATTTATCAAATCTAGGTAATGCTCATCTCACTTTCAGAGTGATTCTGCTGCATCTAAAGGTGACATAACTTCAAGCTGTAAAGAAGGTACAGAATTGACACTGGAAGTCACAGCTTCATATTCTTTTTTTTATAACATGCACTGTCTCTCACCCTCTATTATGTTATGATTATATTGTGTATTTCCATTTTTTTTATGTTAACAACCCTGTAAACCCTTGCATCAGGGTGGAGTTGGGATGCCTGAAAGGAACACAAGCATTTACTGGCCAGATGTCTTTCCTGACGCCTACACAGAGTTCACAGCAGACAATAACTCATTGAACCAAGAGAAATATCTGCTGTTAGCTAGGATCGAATTCACAGCCTCCTGATTATAAGTTGAGAGCTCCATCTCTAGGCCATCATGCTGCTTATATTGTGTGCTTCCCATATGCTGGGCAAAATCAGATGGTATGGCTATTGACAACAAAATATTCCACATCATAACTATCTAACTAAAGAGTCTTGGCACAACTGAAATTTACAAGTTCTGATCAAAATTAGGACAGGCACAAATTCCAGCATGCATTCTGTTATAACCCAGCAACAGCCTGTGCTGCGTTCTAATTGGTCGGGCGAAGCACAGCCTGTGATTGGAGGTTCTAATGACAGTTGGTGACCTGAGTTCCTTTCACCCCAATCTTTAAAACATTCGTTTTACATAAAAGGTGCCAAAATGCACTTAGTTAATACATTTTGAGAAAGAAGAATCATGTTTAAATGCATTTTGTGTGAACTGGATAGTTTTCGATGTAGAGATTAACCCAGAAAGAAGAACATGTGATTAAATATCTGTGAAAGTAATATTGACTCATCTGTCTTTATTACACAGAATAAATAGCGTTATATATTACGTAAAAAGAGAAAGAACTTGATAAAGTATTTTTTCTACTAAAACTAAAGGATGTAATTTTGCCCTGGATGCAATTAATGTCTATAACAACACTGACAGAGTTTACTGAATTCATTTTCAATAATGCTTGGTAGATAAAATATATTGTTTCGGACTTTGGCAGAGTTATACTATGATATAATCAGTACTGGCTCAAATATCAGCTGACACCAACTGAGTTCAGTCAGCTGTGTTCATACTGGTAACTTCAACCTCAAGCATACCTAGAACAAACTTTTGAGTAAAGGATGGAAAGTTCAAGATAGTGAGCAGCTTTGCTAATCTAAATGTGACCATTAGATGGTGCTCATATAATGTTCCTCTTAATATACAACTAAACACATTATTTTATAGGTATGTAATGAGTAAGATTTTACCTGCTGAATTCTTACCACAATTGGTATGTGTTACTATTGAAAAGTGAATATTATATTTATGCAAGACTAATACTCCTTAAAAGAATTAGCATTCAATTATCCAAACAAGCAACTATATAAAATTTAAACTGGAAAGGATTCCTCAATATAGAATAATGTATAGCTAAAATTAAGTAGATTTAAAATTAGACTTACTTATGAAATGCAAATCAAGAAAACACAAATTGCACAGGATTTTTTTTTCATGGAAAAAAGTGTAGGTATGCTAAAATATAGTCAGAATGATTTTTTTTGCAAACATTTTTGTATTGTTTACTTTGGTTTTGTTGTACTATTTTTTGAAAAGGTGTAGTTATGATTTCTTGCATGTTATGTTATATGCATTTAATCAATATAAATATGTGATTTAAGCGCTAAAGCACATATTCCTACAGTGTTTAGGATTTTAGGAGGAAGATCAATAAGAAGAGATACAACAGAGGTATATGAAATAAGCCATAGCATGAAAAATATAGAAAAGATTTCCCTTCGCTCTATTAGAAGTTGGAGTCAGCCATAGAGGTGAAACGTACTGAAATAAACAGCAAAACAGCATCTGCTGCTGAAATGTGCGAAAGCAAATTTAGAAGCGCATTAACAGCTCATTAACCTGAGAGGTGGATTATAAAATATTTTATTCATAAACACAATAGTTACTTATTTAAATAGACACACTTTAATCCATAATCCATGTAGCTCTACAGGTGTTGATGAATTGCAATTCCCAGCAGCCCCAGTCAGTCTGGCTAATAGTAAGGGATGCTGGATTCTGTAGCTCAGCCTCATTAGCAGACAATCTTTCCAAGGAAAGCTTCACTTTATCTAAGGAAGACCCATTAATTCCTCCCCCATCCCACCATTGGGATATACTTTCAAGTCTCCAACAAAAGCCTGATGAAGGCAAAAGACGAACCAGAATAGAGGATCACACAAATCTGTCATCAATCCTTTAAAACAGGGGTCCATGATCCATGGCATGCCAGAAACTGATCCACATAAACAAGCAAAGCCCCATCTGCAGGCTGCAGGCTGCATGCAAAACCATGCCCCCTCCCGTCTGCGGAAAAACCTCTCTCCACAGAACCGGTCCCTGGTGCCCAAAAGGTTGGAGGCCACTGCTTTAAAAGATACCTCAACCAGGTTTATTGCACAGCCTTCATTCTGATCTTTTAGCCCTAATAATAGCCTCAAATTGGCTCTTTCCAGCTCTCGTCTTTTGGGAACCAAGCCATCTATCTAGCCTTCCATGCTATTCACTTCCATCCTATTCACTTAGATAAGTCTGCTAGTTCATGTTCACCCCTATCATGGCTCCAAGTTATTTGGGATGATGTAATAAATTTCTTTCTCCCCTTTTCCTTTATAGAGGGAATAGCTTTAATCCTCCAAATCCATGTGTGAAATGGGAGAGGGGGAGGGAATAGAGAACTGCAGTTTTTATTCTTCTTTCCAGTTCTTTCTCAAGCAGATGGTGAAGGAGGAACCAAAGAGAGGCACACAGACTTGCTCATTCATATCTGCAACAGAAAGAAATGTATTGCAGCAACTCAGGGATGCGGTGATATTCCAGCCCTCGGGCCTTTCTTCTCCCACACCAAGGTAAGTGGAGAAACTTCTACCATTATTTTAGGCTTTCCCAGCTCCTTCCTTCTTTCTCTCTCCTCCCTCAGCTGGTGAGATCTCCTCCATCCTGGTAGCTGGAGACTGTTTCAACAGCTGATGCAAAATAACTTGACCTATTTATAGATGCCATCCTCATGACCACTTCTCCTACCCAGTCTGAGGAAGATGGCCCCTGCAGGAAGGGGGTTGGCAGCTGCCTGCTTTCATGTTCATAATGCTTGCTCCCTTTCTTGGAGGCTAAAATTGAATGACTGGAGTATGAACATGTACATGCTGTATATGGGATTGGGAGTCCATGGACCACACACTTAACTCGTAGCAAGTCTAAGTCCTCAGGGCTAGACATATTCATAGAGAATAGGAGCAATGGGTTAATAGTTATATATTATGCTGAGGCTCAAAGGCAGCATGGCTTAAACCAACTGTCAGGGAGAAATATTTGAAGAAGACAATTTCCTCATTTCCTACCTATAAGCTTTTTGGGATGTCTCTATTGGTCATTGTATGATAGCTGAATCCAGCAGAATTCGTCCACTTTCATTAGGTGGGCTAAATATTAAAAATAAGTCTGAACCAATATACTGTCTATGTTCACTGCATGTTTTAAAAATCTAAGTAGGTTGGTAACTGAAAGCTTTTTCTAATGTTTTGAAAATCGTTCAGCATCAGAGAATACAGTAATTTCTTGCAGACATTATTACAAATTAGGCAGTGGTGGGTTTCAAAAATTGTTCGACCCTACTCTGTGGGTGTGGCCTCCTTTGTGGGAGTGGCTTGCCGGCCATGTGACCTGGTGGGGGGGTCTTGCCGCCCATGTGACCGGATGGGAGTGGCTTGCCGCCCATGTGACCGGATATGAAGATGTCGACGACACTTGGCAGGACCACTTTAAACTACCTCCCACC